CCATATTAATATATTGATTGTGAATTTCTTGAATCTTGAATTATTTAGAAAAAAAATCAAGGAAATTAACAGTGTAAAAAAGATTCACAATATAAAATAAGGTTCGTGAATAATTTTAAAGATGAGACTCAAGACGTATTTCATGAAAATTTCGAATTTTTATATTTTACAATTAGTAATATCAGGCGCCTTTATTCTAGTTTCAGGTTTAGTTGAGTGGTTTAATTTTAAACTATGAATTTACTCATTTTAGGTTTGACTCTATTAACAACTATAATATCAATGATGGCGCGATATTTCTCGAGAAGGAGCTTTTCAAGGTCTCCACACTCAAACTGTAGTTTTAATATTACGATGAGGTAAAATTTTATTTATTATTTCAGAAGTATTATTTTCCTTTTCGTTTTTTTTTTAGTAATATTTAATCTTAATCTACTTCCAGAAAAACAACCAATTTAAAGTATCTGAAATATAAAATTATTTTTGCAGGATTATTTAATTACTTTGTCTCAACCCAGAGCTATGAAATCTTAGAATACTTATATCCAAATTACGATAAGTAGACTTCAGCAGGAAATTTTCCACCGATTATGCTTTTGAGCCATTTCGACAAATCACGGGGCGCTTCCACTAAATTTGTGAATCTCTCTTTCACACACACACGAGGGGTGCGGCGCCGCAGCCGGAACAAAAAGCGGCCATCAAATGAAAAGTTACTACATCGCGGCGCACGCGGCGGCCGTCGTGCAGCTGAAAAATGACACCTATCCGTATTAATAAAAGCCGCCGAGCGGGGGCAAAAAGTTTTTCGGGGCTGCAGCGAGAGGTGCGGCGAGTAATTCGCGTAATAGCGCCGCGGCCTGCACGGCGCGCCAGCGTAAAAAAGAGACGAGGAGAGCGAAAGCAATTTTAAAACTGTCATAAAGCACCGATGGAATTGCAGGCAATCAAAGCAGCAGAGCGACGAGACCATTGCGCCGCCGACACGCTCTCACTACTGCGGACACCGAGGAGCAAAAAGTGAGCAAGAGTGCGCATTGGCAAAAAGTGTCCACAGCCAGCTAGAGCCGCAATTACAAATATTTTGTCGCCCACGCCGATTTTTCCGTCGCTACACGCGCGAGAGCGCGGAATTTTAACACAAAATTTTGTACATAATGTACAAAATTAAGATTTGAAACTTAAAGAAAAGGAAAATTATTTTTAAGTAAGGTTTTTTAATTAAATTTTTATTAATTCCGATAAATTTTCTCTCATTATTGTTTTTTATTTGTCCAAATTGTTACATCACATTGTTTACATTCAATTGTTGAAAAAAATTTAATTGAAAAGAAAGGAATTTTTGGACAAAACGGAAACATCTCTAGCAAAATAAATAAATTAAATTGTTTTCAACAATGTGATGTAACAATTTTATACGAATAAACAACAAAAATAAAAAGAAATGAGAACTTAAATGCACAAATAAAAATAGGTCAATTTTGTGTCAAATGTACGATTCACTCAGAATTGATGAAAAATCACAAATTTTTTTTTGTTTTTTTTTTAAGGGTCAGGCCAAGACAACGTCTTGTCGGCCTGTGCCCTTTATTGGTGGTACAGAAGGCACCACCCAATTATTTTTTTTTTTTATTATTTTTTTTGTTCAACTTTATTTAAAAAATCATCATTTTTTACTGGCATATCCTTAATTTTGGTCCACGTGATGATGACAAACAAAGCTAAAAACTAAAAGAGAAAAAAAAGATTAAGAAAGGATGTGGATTTGGTTGGGGTAGGGGAAGGTCAGATTTTGATATTTTATTATTGTTAAGGATTTACTGCATAATTTTTTGTTTCAATAATTACGTCTATTTTTATTTTTATTTGTACTGCAAATTAAAAATAAAAAGGTTTTCATTTATATTTTGGAACTAAATAATAACCTGTTTTCACCTTCAATCACCTATTTGTAGATTTTTTCCTTTTATCACCTATTTTTGTTTTTAAAATGTCACCTAAAATTACCAATTTAAAAATCTGTTTAAAAAAATGACCTGAAAACACTTAAAAATATCATTTTGTTACAATAATATTTGCATAGTTTCACCTATTTTTCATCTATTTTAGCTCAATAGGCGCCGATTTTGCCCTTCAATATAACTATTTTTCCGAATTCCAGATAAAAGATCTAAATCAACACAAAGAACGAATTTATTTTGAAAAATAGCGTCAATAAACCGAAATTTAAATTAGCTTTTCCCCCATCAGCTAATTTTCCGCTCTCAAACCGAAATCGGAGGGACGATTGAGCCGATAATAAAAGCGAAGCGCCGCGACAATAATTAAAAGTTGCGGCCAAAGTTGAAATGGATTGACAGCCGTGTAATAAAAAGGGCGCCACCGAGGCACCCTCGACACTCACAAAATTGAAACAAATCGCTTTGTTTTGCGGCTGCGAGTCGAGACACGCCCAACAAGCAGGTGCATAAATTTTTATTATATTATTTATTTTTCGTGTTTGCTTTTATCTCGTCTCCGGCTGCCTGGTTGCGAATAAACGGAATTAAAGCGGCCGCTAAAGAAAGAAGGAACATAAATTTCGGTCCCCGGCTCGGCGGCGCGTGGAAATAAAAAAGGAATCGCGAATAAAATGCACCGCGAAAAAAACGAGAGATTCACGGCAGGTATGATTTACGGGGGAAATTTTCCACGCCGGCCGTCGTTGGCTCGTATAATCCGTTTTGGTAGGAAAATTTATGTGCTTTTTGCTAAATAGTTTATACGCGAGCACACACAAGCGCGGCGCCGCTCTAACATAATTTGCATCGCAAATAATGAAATTAAAACCCGCCGCCGACAACGGAACGAGAGCGAACAAAACAAATGTCTGTTTTGATCGAGGGCGTTCGATTTTAATCCGATTGCATTGTGCATTAAATCAAAAAACGAATTAAAAGTTGGGCGAGAAACTCGTCTTTTCATAGACATTGTTGCGGAATAATTAACTCTCCCCTGTTGCCGATGCAGACATAAATTGTTGCGGTTTTCATTGCAATATTGAAATTTCACAAATTTATTTTAGTTTGGAAAGTGTTCATTACAATAATAATAAATTTGATAGCTTAAATTTTGATTATTCAGTTGACAAAAATAATTAAAATTAATATTCCAGCTTGACCAAAAATGATTTTTTGAAAATAATGAATAATTAGATTTAATTTTTAATTTAAAGTTAAAACTTTTATAAGCTAAAAATTACAAAATTTTCATGAAAATGTAGTAGATATTTTTTACATTATTTCTCATCAATATTATTTAGATTGGCAAATGAAGAAAAAATTTGCGTTTTGGCAGCGAAAATCTGACAATTTTCCTTTCTGCAGAAAAACGCACGTCTCATGATCATCACCAAAGGAGCTCGGATCGCCCTCGTCCCACAACTCACTTTCCGCCCCTAATTCACTTCCGTCCAGCCAAGAAAAGCGTCCAGCCTTCAGTCCGATATCAGACGCCGACAACCACCACTGAACTGGAAGAAAAAATTTAAAATATTGTTCTAATTAAATTTAAAAAATCTGTACCGCCTGGATGGATTTTTTCCGCCTGTTCTGAAATTAATTTCATTTCCTCGTCAGTTTTGATTGTCGCCAAATTCATGTCGTTTTCTTCACAGAATTTCCGCGCCTCTTTCCATTCCATCTGTTGTTTAATTATTATTATTTTTAAATTTAGGATTTTAAAATTTAGGATTTAACTTACGACTGAATCTTGGCCAAAGAAATAATTTTTCCCGTTCGATAATTTAATCAAATCGAGCTGGGGCCCTGAGAAAGAAATGCAGGAGTTGATTTATGATATTGTGTTTTGAATGAAACTCACGTGATTTTTTGCAAAAGGTTTGACTTTCCAGCTGAAAGTAAAGAAATTTTACAGTTTACTTTTTTTTAATTTTATTTTTAAAAAAACACATTATTTTTTATGTATTTTTCCATTTGCTCTAATTTCATTTGAAACTTGTCAATCTGGTCCAAAATCGGCAGCGTTGACACCTAACATAAATTAATTTAACATTAATATTTTATTAATGCAACATTAAAAATAAATCAAAGACCTGATGGATTAAGAGATCAAATCTCTCTTTTTCTCCTTTCGAAATTTCAATCAAAATTGTCTGTAGCCGCATTTCAACTTTTTGAGCCGCTTTTTCAATTTCATCCGAAACTACTTTGCTCACGTCACTCTGAGAAAATATTTCAATAATTTTGATTAAAATTTCCACAGGTTTTTTTACCTTTAGCATTCCAAGCGCGATTTCATTTCCATCATTGCAGCTGTGATCTTTGTATTTCTGTCAAAATAAAAAACGAGATGAAAATTTAAAAGTCAATTTGATGCTTTTTCTTACCATTTTATAGAGAATAGCAGAAAGGGTGCCGAGATTTGCCAGGGCGAGGATGACGAGCAGCGAGAAAGAGAGCCATGGAGGCACTCTTGAAGGCATTGACAATTCCATGATGCAGATGTGCTTCAAGTGTTCAGCTGGACGGCTCTCTGCATTATAATGAGGGTCCAATTCTCGGTTTAAAGTATTAGCGTCCAACGTTTATACATATATGTATTTATGATAATGGCAAACGTGACTCACAAGGAAAAATAAACAAAATCCTAATTCCAAAGTCAGTCATTTATTTGTGCCTATGAGTTTTATATAATAACATTTCAAATTCATATTTATTGGGCATTTGATACATTAAAGCAAACTTGATTATTCATTTTATAGACAATGACTGGATTTAATTAGTGATAATTATACACAACCGATCAGATAAAATGAAGAGATTGTCAGAATTTGCGTTTTTCAATCAACATGAAACTAAATATATGCCACTGACATATTAATAATTTTAAAAATTCAATTAATTCAATTCTTATTTTATTAAATTTTATTTTATGAATTAAAAGTATTAAAAATAAAATTTAATAATTTTATATTTCTAAATAAAATAATGTTAAATTAAAAAGAAAAGTAATGATTTTGTTAATTATAAGTTAAAATTTTATTTGATTATTTTTATAAATTTAGTTAAAAACAAGTTAATTTAAATTTAATTTACCAATCTAAATTTTTTTTTATGATTAAAATAAAATTATGTTATTTGCACGAGTCAGGAAGTTGGCAGACGAAAAAAGCTTTATAACTGCATGGCTGGTCAAAGAGTTTTGACTTGTAGATTGAAACGCAAGCCTCTCTTTCGGCGCCAAATGCATTCGGCTCTCCATCTTTCCACCAACGGCTGATGTGCTCCAGTTCAGATCCGTCACCCCACAGAAAGTGCCCGGCTGATTGCCCCATATCAGACGCCGACAACCAAAAATAGTCTGTGCAGCAGAGCAAATAATTAAATTATATTATATATCAGTTATTTTGCTTTGAGATCAGTATATTTTTTTTTAAATTTGCACTTAAAATTTTACTTGAGCTGATCACAAATAGTTATACCTATAGTCCAGAAGCTTTGGAGCTCATTTTCATCTTCGATCGTGGCCAGGTGCATTCCGCTATGCTCGCAATATTTCTTAGCCTCTGTCCAGTTGACCTAATTGAATTCGTTAATTAAATTTTTGAAATATAAGCAAATAATAATGATGACTCACCATAGAATCGTTATGAAAGTAGTAAGAATTTCCGCTTTTCATTGTTGTGAGTTTGTTCTCCGTACCTGAAAAGTTCAAATTTATTAATGATAGAAATTTTTCAGGCAATTAACGAAGTACGCACAAACGTTCGGCGAATGTACTATTATTATCCATGAAATATATTTTTTTCAAATTGAGAGATTTATGTGAATTAAATTAGAAATTGGTGAAAAATGATAAACTCACGGACTTTGGTGCAGAGAAGGTCGTTTTTTAGCTGAAAAAATTCAAATGAAATTGAATTTCATCGCACTTTGAGGTTTTATTTTCTGAAATATCATTTTATTATGGACAATTTTTATTTCTCACCTTTTCAATTTGTTGATCTTGCATGCTAGTGGCGTTGACCAATTCGTTTTCAAGTCTATCCACTTTTTTCATCGCTTTCACCACCTCTCTAGAAAACACGATTCGCTCGGCCATCTGACGTCATTATTAAAACCAAAAATATTTATATTTTCATGAAAATATCTCACCGATTGGAAAAAGAGTCCAGCTGAGAAGGCGAGATTGACGGTCATCAGCAGGACAAGAACTTCACTCCTCTGGATCCATTTTTTCGAATTTTGTATTTTTCGCTGCTCAGTCGGTTGCAAAATGACCAGCACCGATTCGCCTGGCTTCTTCATGTGAGAAGATTGTGAACTAAGTAAATTATAGAAATATAAAGAAAAAAATTCAAGTAAATACCATTAAATCCATGGCGAACTAAACGAGTCAACTGATAACTGTGAGCAGCTCGCGAGGTGGCATAAAATAAATGAAATTGAAAACTCGGTGTAGGCACTCTAGGTAGAAAACTTTGCTGAATCGGATTTTTCGAGCGTCGTCTCCTTCCTCCTGCAATCGGTGCGAAAAACTGAAAATTGCCACTGCACACATATTTAAAACCGTAATAAAAGATAAATTAACAAAGTAATAACAAGCCTGATGCATAATCAAACATGATTTTAGATGTTTACAAAACTATTCAAAATTCAAAAATATATTTTATTGAAAATACCTCATCATAGAACAATTCTTCAGTATTTAAATTAATAAAAGCGAAATTTGATATCAATTAAAATTTTAATTAATTTAAAAATTAAAATTATTTTTAATTAATATTTTTAACAATTTATAAATTTTAATAACATATTGTAAAGTCATGTTTTGTCTTTTCCCATACGGGCGTAGTCGTTGATGGAAAGCACTCGGTTTTCACATTTCTCGAGGTGGTATTGGTCGCAGATTTTGTCGCATAATTTGCATCCTTCTCGGGCCGTATGGAAGGTTTTGTCTTTACAAATGAAGTGGTGGAATCTGTGGACTGCGAACCTTAATTAGTTATTTTATAGTGAACATAATTTTAGAAATAAATAAATATCATTGATTTAAACGGAACGTAAATTTGATCGCCTATTCAAAAAAATATTTTGACAGTCATGTTTTGCAGTTTGTTGCTTTATGAATGGAAAAATGATTGCTTCATAAAAAAAAACATTTTATTGAAAATAATACTAAATAAATAGTGTTCCGTTTGCAAACTAACAATTTGACTAAATCATCGATTTTGTAGGACGGGCAAATAAATTGATCGCGATGCACCTGATCGTGTGCACCCCTCTGCGTTTGCCAAGGTGGTGTTTGCGCGGCGCACTTGGGCGTGCGATTTATCGCTGCCAACGCATACAGGCGAACAATGCAATCAGCCGCTCATGGCTCGCTTCACCCGCCGCGCGTTCACTCGCTGCGATGATAATAATTCGCCCAACTCATCTATTATTATTTGCTCGCCGAGTCAGTCGGTTTAAGCTGCTGCTGACTCAGTCGAGAGTGAGATGCAAATTTGTTTGTTGTTCGCCGTACGTCTCGTCACAACGCATCTCTCTCGCGAATATGCATTCAGATGCCAATCGTAGCGTGAAGTCTGTTTACTTGCTGGCCTCGATAACAATGTAATATGCACTTTCTGCTGAATGGTCTCGTTACTTCCAAACGCAAACATGATGCGTTTCTCATGAGCCAGATGCAGAAGAGAAGAAGTGCAACAATCGTCCAAGTGCCTCATTTGCATTCTGCCGCAGTGCATTAATTTTTTTTGCACTATTTTGCTTTCTCGTTATTCAAATGGAAGCAATATTTGTTTTAAAACTCATTTAATTATGATAGATTCTAAATTTAGCATATTTGAATTGTTCCAAAACAAGCAAAATCATTTCATTTTAACAATTTTGATAAATTCTAGAATTTCTTTTGTTTTTTTGAAGAAGTTGACACTCGAGGAGATGATCATGGAAACGAAGAGATCGGGCTTTTCCTCGGTGCAGAAAATTGGAGTTATTAAAAAACAATTTCTCTGCAACAAGGAAAAGCCCGATCTCTTCATTATTTCCATTTCTTTTATTTACTTGAAATAATTTTCCTAATTATAAATTTTTGGTATATTTTGATGTCAGGGGCACATTTAAAAGTTTAGAGGGAATTAAAACGGGAAAAGAAATTGACTTTTTTAAATTCAATACATTTTATATATCAATTTTATTCACCATTCTTAACATGATGCGCTGCTGAAAAGTTTGTTTCCTCATAAATTTTGAACATAAAAATAAAATTATTATAAAATCGCCCACCAATTGAAATTTATCATTTTCGATCAAGTGTCCAATACACACACACACATTTCACATTTTCCATTCTGTCTCTCTCCCAATCTATCGGAAAGCGATGGAGAAACTAATCAAACGCGACTCTCGTATATTTCCAGTCGTAAAATAAATACATCTCTTGCCGCACTCGTGCACACTTTTGCTGTTTACGCCGCGAGACATAAATTTTATTGGCGCGACCGCTAATGCAGAAACCGCGTCGTAATTCCGCACAGCACAGCATAGCTGATGGAAATGCGCCGAGCACTCTCGTCGCTCTCGCAAATTCATAATTCATCCATGAAACAGCTTCTCGCACTCGTTCGTTTTGACAACAAACTGACGGAGAAATTGAATTTCGGCTCAAAGGCCAATTCTCTTTAATTGCTTTAATTTGACTGTTAATAAGTCACAACAATAACAATACAAAGGATTTCTCCTCAAATTTAAAATTGCATGAGGGTAAAATTTTAATTTAATTTAAAAATTTAAACAATTTGTATGTAAACAATGTGATGTAACAATTTGGACAAATAAGCAACAATAATAAAAATTGTAAACAAGTTTTTGTTCAAATTCCTGCATACATAAATTCGAAATAAATAATTTTATTTTGAATATCTGATTCTTCAGATTAATGATAATTTTGTGATATATTTTATTATATGATATTATTAATTGCTTTATTAAAATATTATATTAATAAATATCTAATTTCCAAACTAAGCAAACTGCAAGATCCTTTATTTAAACATCTTCAACAATCATAATTATTATATAGTTGGTTTTCCGCGTTAATTTATACATTTTTTTATTGATAACAATGCTTTTTCTACACCATTATTCTCCTTTTTAGTAGATTGTTCTCTCTTTGCAAGGTAATGTACAATAAATAGAAAATAAATGAATTAATTGATTAAATAAAATAAATTAAATTTACTAAATTGTCTAAAATATCATGAATAAAAGCATAAATAAAAAAATAATAAACAGCTATAATATTTTGCTAAAATCATCATCTAAGCTTTGCAGTTCTGTTTGATAAAAAGAATTGTAGATTTTGTACTAAACTTTTTAAGCATGTTTACCATAATTTAAATAAATTTATTATTGTTAAAAAATTTAATCATAAAAACAATATAAATTATAAATATAAACAAAAACCGGTAATTATTAAACTAATAAATTCAACACAAACTTTCGAGGCAATTCTGAGAACAACATTATTGACCCCTTCAGAAATGTAGAAATTTCATCAAATTGTCGGGTGGAAAACCGCAAAGAGCATTATCGCGGAGCACTTTAGCTGATTCACCTCTCCGAAATTTATTCGCCATTGTTGCAGTCGGCATTCGCAAGTTGCAGGAAATTTATTCCGTTTGCCGGCCGGTGCGTGCATGACGCGTGTGTTGGTGTTTAATTATAAATAGGCGCGCCGGCATGTTAATGCAGCTCGAGAGTTAATTCGCTCTTCTCTCGTGTCTGTTTACGTTCTCGGGCTTTGCATTATGCATGCGCGGCCCTGCTGGTCGCGCTCGCAAGGGTTAAGCCACTTACAAAGGACTGCACTAGTCTCTTCTCCTCGAATGTATATTTCACCGCAGCGGCCCCGCACATTAGCACCTTGTGCCGATAATTAATAAACATGAGAGAAGACGTGCGAATTTAAATAAACTTCTGCTGGACTTTCGTCGATGATCGATCGACCCTCTCGAAAAGCACGCACACTCAAAATATAAGAAGAAGGACAAGCGCGGACGGACAGGAAGAAAATTTGCGAGCAGGAAAAGTTGCGAGATGGCGTGTTCGAGAAGCCGAGACCGTTTTGACAACTATGCAAAATACCCTCTCGGTACCGACTGATTGCAAATTCGTATGGTCAGAACGCCTTACTCGTGAATCTCAATAAAATAAGTTTCCGAAAATTATTATAATCCACATTATTTCAAAATTATACGTAAAAATTTCTCTTCAAAGTTTTGCAGCTTTACAGTTATTATAAGTAATTAAATTATTTTTATTTCCTAGCTTCACGGACATTTAAGCATTTTTGTTTTTACGGTGATGCTTCTAATTGAACGTGATATCCGCATTTAACTTTGATTTGAGTAACTACATAAATTAACTGTAAAATAAAAATAAAAATTAAATTTATCTACAAATCTTTAATTTAATTAATTTTTTTTAAAATATTTAACAACATATCTTAAAAATTATGAGCATTTCCGAGTAAGATTGAGGGGGCTTTGGACAAAAAAAATTACCATATCTTATTTTAACATATGTCAAAGTGGGTGTCTGGAGGGGCCTCCTCGCCAATTTTGAGACCTCAAAAAAGGGGCGTTGCCCAAAATTTTGGGGGTTGAAAAATGACCTGAGATTTTTTTGATTGTCCATAACTTTGGAACGGTTTGGGTTAGAACAATGATCTAAACTGTTCCTGACCTAACTTTTTACGCTGAACAACTTTGCTGTTGACATAAAAGTCGTAGATTTAAGGGTAATGTCACTTTTCGGAGATTTTTATTTAAAAGTAAAATTTTGACGATGATAGCCCCCTCCAATTTTTTTGGTGATATAGGAACAAATGTAGCCCATGAAATTTTACGTCGGCCCTGTAATTTTCAGAATGGCCATTTTTTCCGTTTTTGAGAAAATACAGGCTAAATAATGAAAAACGTGCTTTTCCGAGGCTTATTTTTGGATAAAAAAAATTTAAAAATCTTAAAAATTAATAAATATGAAATAATTTATGTTTCTTACAGTCAAAATAACTAAAATTTAGGATATATCGTGGTTTTGATTGATTTTTCAGGTTTTTAAAAATTTTTATCCAAAAATATGCCTCGGAAAAGCACGTTTTTCATTATTTAGCCTGTATTTTCTCAAAAACGGAAAAAATGGCCATTCTGAAAATTACAGGGCCGACGTAAAATTTCATGGGCTACATTTTTTCCTATATCACCAAAAAAATTGGAGGGGGCTATCATCGTCAAAATTTTACTTTTATATAAAAATCTCCGAAAAGTGACATTACCCTAAAGTCTACGACTTTTATGTCAACGGCAAAGTTGTTCAGCGTAAAAAGTTAGGTTAGGAACAGTTTAGATCATTGTTCTAACCCAAACCGTTCCAAAGTTATGGACAATCAAAAAAATCTCGGGTCATTTTTCAACCCCCAAAATTTTGGGCAACGCCCCTTTTTTGAG